CCCGACGCCGACACGATGGTGCGCTACCTGGAAGATTTTGCTTCCCTGCTGAAGCTGCAGGTTCAGTACAACACGGCCATCGTCCACGTCACGCTAGACAGAGATCAGCAGGCCTGGAACGGCCACTACTTCATCCTGACGGACCAGAACAGGCAGAACTACAAATGCAGGTAACGGGCAAACTGAGGACTAGCTACACAGCTCTCCACAAGTGTGTTTAGAGTCACAGAATCACAGAATCAATTAGGTTGGAAAAAACCTGTAAATGTCATTCTGTCCAAGCCCCTGGCTCAAAGCAGGGCCAACTACATCCGGTTGCTCAGAGCCTTGTCCAGTCACGGTTTGAGTATCTCCAAGGAAGGAGATTTCGTAGCCTCTTGGAGCTCCTGTTTTGCCTCGTTGTCATGGCAAAAAATTTTGCAACAGTCAGTGGGGCAGATGGGTAAAATAACTGCTCCTGGGAAAGCGTTGCCTTTCGCGAGCAATGAGTAGCTGGTAGAGGAGAAGTTTGCATTGCAGAACTGCAGCTGATTCGGACTGTGGTGGTACCTCATGTTCTGCAGTTCGCACACCTGTCTCACTGCCTGTGGTTTCCACCCTCAAAATTTATAGGCTTTATATATAAGCTTTATATATAAGCTTTATGTGCTTGTGATTTTTCTATCACAAGATACTTGCTTTCACTGAAAAGATAACTCAGTTGCACTTGCCTTAGCCGCTACTGCCTTTATTACAAAATTGTGGCAATCAGTACAGTGACACCCCACCTCAGTTCACCCACATGTGTTTAAAAAAGTCCATATTTAAGATTTGCACCAGCTAGCTCAAGCCCTTTGGCAGTATAGAACCAGCAGGAGAGGCAGGAAGGAACCAGGGAAAAGGGGGGGGGCATTGCGAAAGAGGGAGAAGACTATGAGAAAACACAGTCCATGTTATTTCCAGGACAAATTTCTGAATTATCCTTCCCCTTATCATACTCTGCACATGCATATCCTGTACTGCTACTGAATTACATTGTTATAAATGATCTAGAAGCTATTCATGTGAGCATATGGAATATATTTCTCAATCCTCTTGAGAATCTCAGATCTAGAACAGCAGGTCATGCTGGCTGTCACTTGGAGGTATACTAGCTGGCAAGCTTGGAGGGACAGGCATGCAATACTGGACACTACCCTTCATGACTGCGTTATTCTCAGGAGCTGTATGAACAAGGCTAGAACAGTATACGGTGCTGCTAGCCTGAACTACCTGATATTTCCTTCTGTGTTGTAAAAAATTCCCCTAAAATTCACATAGAAGCTCCTACCGTGAGATATTAAAAAGATTACTATCCTTTTAGTGTTAGCGATTAGAATTAATTCTGATAACGTATTTTTTATGAGTAGTATTTAAGTTCTAAAATATTGGGACCATTTTCTATCCTACTTCAAAATTACTTTTGTTCCACTACTAAAAGGCAACACAAATTTTAAATCAAAGTAATTTTTTCTGCAGCATATAATCAACCTATGAAACACATTGGTATTGTAAGGTATTACATACACATTCACAAACAGCTAAGGGAAACTTAAGAAAAGAGGGGAGCTTATATGTACAGCCTAAGCACGGACTTTTGCTAAAATGACTTTAGTAGTCTTCATTGGCTTAGTGATAGGGAAGATAGGAGTAGGTCGTTAACTGAAGCTGGGGAGAGGTTTCTGTCCAAACCATAGCACCAATTGCACTAAGCAGCTGATTCAGTGTGGCTGGAGGTGGCACATTACCATGATCTTCTGCAATGGGAGGAGGGAGGAGTGATGAGATTGAAAGATGATCTGATTCCTGTATGCTACCCTAATGCTATCCGTGTTTTTGCAGCTCTTTGTTGGTAGCCACTGGCACATGGGTCCCCAATGTAGTAAACTTTCCTGGCTCAGAATACGTTGAGGGTTACGAGACTGTGTCCATCAATCCAGAGGATTTTGCTGGCCAAACTGTGTTGATTCTGGGCCGAGGTAACTCTGCCTTTGAGACAGCAGAGAACATTCTGGGTGTCACTAATTTCATCCACATGGTGAGCCGATCCCGTGTTCGCCTCTCTTGGGCCACCCACTACGTCGGAGATCTGAGGTAGGAAATGGTTTTTCCTCTTTTTAATGCAGCTGGAGTATTAACAAAGGAGAATCACTTCTTGCCCAGGAGACTAGCTGGACTGGCACAGCAGGCACTGTGGTTCTGGGGTCACTAGGGAAACATGAAGCCTTTTATGTTTAGGTCCTTGGTTTGGGACCAGTCCAGGTTTGCAGGTGCTGCACATAGAAACTTTCTGAGAGCTCTTCACTGGCCTGTGTGAAACAGGGAAATGTTCCCATAGGAATGTATCATAAACAGTGCTAGCTCACAAGTTATTCCCTTGCTTGCAATCGCAGGAGAGAGCTCAGAGGCTGACTACATCATGCAAGGGCAGCGCAGTGATCAGAGTACAAGTCTGGGAGTCAGCAGACCCACATCTAGTTACTTGCTCTGCCACAGACTTCCTAGGTGACTGTGAGCACACTACTAAGGCTCTCTGTTCTTCTCTGCCCCATCTTTCAGATGGGGCTAATAGCACTCCTGCACCTTGCAGGAATGCTGTGAAAATTAATGCATTAATGACTGCTCGGGAATGGGGCCAGATGAGAGGCTGGGCTCCCCTTTTATTTCTGCTAGGCACACAGAAGACAACCCTGATGGGTTACAGGAGTGGTGCCCAGCACTGTCTGTCTAGGCTAAGTTACCAGTGCTGTTCCCATTAGCCCTGAGGCACTAGGGATAACCTTTACACTGAAGAGGAGTATGGGATCGTGGGTAAACTTGTCCAGTTTCCAGAAGCTGGGACTGAGCCCTGGATCCTACCTCTCCTCTCTTCTTGTAGCGCTTCTTACATTCCCCTTCATTCGTAGAGCAATTAACAATGGTCTGCTGGATACATACCAGCTGAAATCTCTTGATGGGCTTCTGGAGGGTGACCTAGAAGATCTGGCTATTGTCAAGGACAAGAAAGGGAAGTTGCACATCACGCTCCGGTTCTACCTGGAGAACAGGAACACCAGCGCAAGCATTGACTCCATCACCCTCCCGCAGGATGAACTGGATAATTTTGCCACCCGTGCACCTTATGACCGTGTCATTCGCTGCCTGGGCTGGAAATTCGACTTCTCTATTTACAACAGGTGAGGAAAAAACAGTGTCTACAGGGAAGGAGGTACGTATAGCAATGGACTATGAAAGACCCTACCAGGGAGGAAAGGGAAGGGCAGGCAGGGTGATCATGGTTCCTCGCCTGGCAGCACTGCCTGGTCCCCCACATGCTCTAAGTCACTTGGTGCTTCACAGTCCTTTGTTCAACCTACAGTTACATCCATGCCCCAGTGGGAACATGTGTGCCTCTGTCAGAGGACAGATGGGCTGTAGGGCTGAGCAAATGGTGGTGTTGGGACTTGGCTCATACGGAAGAGGCTTGTGCCTTTAGAAGTGAAGATCTTGACTCTCCAGATCACATGGACGTGGTTAGCCATTTTTTGAATGAGGATGGTATAGATGCAGATCACTACAAAAGGTTTTGTCTGCTTTTTCTCCCTGAGGACGCAATCTTTCCAATCCAGCTTAGTTTGTCTCCCAGTACATCCCACAGCTGAAAATGATATTGCTAGTTCTGCTCTTGTCTGAAATTCACTGTCAGTGGCTAAGGCTAAGGGTAATTTGATCTTGTCCAGAGCTACCTTGAAATGAGCACACTTGGCTTCTGGAAGATACGTGTTGACCTCGTGTGCTAGGGAAAGTAATAAATCCCATGAAGGCAGTGGGGACATGAAGTTCTGTACACATCTTTCAAAGTGACTATAATTTAGCTTGTGCCTCATCAGAAATGATTTATTTTCCTACCCCTCTCCCTCCTGACAGCCTGCTCTTCTCTTTTGCACATCAGATCCCTTAGAATGACGCCAGGAAAAGGGAATAAAAACAAGTATCCTCAGATCAAACCCAGTTATGAGTCCAGAGGCACTCGGGGGCTCTTTGTTCTTGGCACTGCTAGCCACTCTGTTGACTTTAGAAAATCTGCTGGGGGCTTCATCCATGGATTCCGGTATACAAGTGAGTACTGGTGTGTGCAGAAAGGAGAGAGACTGGGGTTCAGCTGTAGACTTCAAAGGAACAATTCATACCTTATTGCTGGAAAGAGATCACCCTTAATCTGGTTCTACCAGTGAGAATAACAAAACATAGCCAAGTTACAGCTGCATAGCAAGGTCTGAAGTGGAGGAGAGGCCACGGAAGTGATTTGGGGTCATATCTGAAGTCTTTGGTTGTCTGTCTTTGTTTTGTCTTGCGTCTTTCTCCTATTGTCTCCTATTTATGTAACAGAATACGTTTCTGTCAGCCAGATGCTCTGCCTCGTGACAGGCTGTGGGTGAGAGGTCTGTGCTGTGGAGTTAAAACCTACCAGCTTTGGGCAATAGAGAGAATTTGTGTGTTTATGTGTATGTGCTCATCCTTTTCATTAAAGGGCTGCACAGAAGTAATGAAAGATTGATGAGGATTCCTCTCCCCCTTCCTAACCACTTAGAATCGCCTCCGCTTTCTGAGGGCCTCGCTACTGCAATTAGCAGTGATCTCAGTGTGAGATCCTGAGCACAGATGAACTGCGAAGCTTATTTGTTGTGTCCTGCCAGTATGTGTGCATGTCACAGTGGAGCAATCAGGTTTCCAAAAGTGTAAGCTTGGATTTTTAAATAAGATGCCTTTGTTTCTCTCAATGTCTTAGCTCGTGCAGTCCACCGCCTATTGGAAAACCGTCACCACGGTGTCCCCTGGCCATCCACGGTCTACCCTATTACACAGTTGACCAATTCCATCATCAAGCGAGTGAATGAGGCCTCAGGCCTCTACCAGATGTTCAGTGTCCTGGCTGACATCATACTGCTGAGAGAGTGAGTGAGTAATTATTCCCAGCACTGCGCTCCATCATTTAATTCTTTTTTCTTTACCATTATTTCCCACGGTGCCACATACAAATTGCTCCATTGTGGTCTAAGGACATCAGCGTCATGTAGGTAGCCACCTCAAACCCTGTACCACTGCCACACTGGTGTCACCATAGTCCACTCTGCCAATTACTTCCCTCTCTTAAACAAATGAAATGGTCCAGAACTTCCTGCTAGGCTCAGAGGTGTAGCGCCCTTTCACTATCCCCAGGGAAAAACTTTCCTTGAGCTGTGCTATGTGGAGAGAAATCTGGGAAATGGTCTGGGAAAATAATGGAGTCTTGTAATAGTAGATGCAGCTTTTGTAAGCTCTGCATCAAGTCCAGCACAGATCTGTAATGACCAAAAGTCATTACCATCTGATGGCTCTTTGGCCCTAGCCTCTGTCAGCTGAGGGAGTGCTGGATCACAGTTAGTTTTCTCAGTCTCACAAACAGAGAAGTCTCACAGGTGTGGTTGCAACTCTTAGGAATGCCACAGCATTTGAATACCTTGAAGAATACCCAGTCGGAGTCCTGGCCGAGCTGGAAACACAGACAGGGAGAAAGGCTCCCCATGGGCTGTTCGTCATCATCCTGGAGTACGGGAGAAATTTCTCTGGGGCTGATAAAGATGTCTTCTACTACAACCGAGCTGTGGGGGAGGCACAGCACGCCTGGCAATCCAACTTCCTGCACCCTGTTATTTACTATTACAAACGCCTCCCAACAGGTAAGTTCTCCAGCCTCTGTTTGCTAATTATCTGATATGAGCAAAATCGAGAGGGCTGAAGATGCTTCAGGGCCAAAGAGGGGGTACCCGAATGCATTGCACATCTTCCTTCTCCACCTTCTCCATGTCCATCCTCTGTCACATCCCTGCCATCACTGCATGAGCTGAAGAAAAAGCTGGAAAATGGCAAGAAGTTCCCATCGGTCATACAGAGACCTCGCATTTGAGAAGAGGGACAAACAAGGGTGCTGGGAACTTCTCCATTCCCCAGAAGACTCCAGAGTCGTGAGGCAGTGATGACCGTTACTTCCATTTGCCTGGCACCCTGCAATGCACGTGTGTTACAGAGTCATGGCAGTCATGGCTGGGGTGTTCAGTGTCACTGCCAAAAGGAAGCTGCTTTTTGTGGGCTGCCCAGGACTGAGGGGTCATGTAGTGATGGAGGCAGCCAAAGGGAAAAGTTTGAAGATGAATGCTACCCCCAGCAAACAAACACACTCGGAATGGACTTCCTGGGGAAATGAATGTGCTGAAACTTCATCTTCAGAAACACAGGGTCAGGCTCTTGCCTAACTTGCTCAGAGAGGAGTGTGATGGGTAGCGGCATTAAAGCTTGAGCACAGTTCAGCTTGACTGGCAGTCCCTACCCAGAGGGAACAGGGCCTAAGATACAGAACTGAAATGACAGGAAGTGCTGCAGTCAGGGAGGGATAAGGGCCAGCTGTAGAGTGGCAGGGCTATTCAGCATGGAGCTAGCAAAGGGTATTGCAAATGAGAGTAAGGCAGGGATTAGAAGGTCAAGACAAAAGCTGGAACAGCTGTCATTGCTGCTTTCCTCTCCTCAAGCCCTTTTTAATGCCATTTTGATTCTGAGAGATTCCTTTAATGTTCTCTTGGCAGAGCGGGAGATGAGACTTCGCCCCCCTGACTGGCCTCTCCCCCGCCCAGATGCCATCCATCACATTGTTGAGGATTTTCTGACAGACTGGACAGCCCCAAATGCTCACATCCTGCCACTGAGACGTTTTCTGGAGAACTGCCTCGGCACAGACCTACGCAATTTCTTTGCAGGTAATTTGAGCAATGAATGGAGGTGGCAGCAGGAAGAGGAGGGATGCGAGGGGTGTGCGACAGGAGCAATCTCTGCTGCAAATAGCTGAGATCTCCTTATGATAAGCTGGTGATCTCCCAGTCAGTCCCACCTCTTTGATGTGCTCCCCAGACAGTGAGAAGTGTTGGTGTGCGTGTATGTTCCCAAATAGCTTGGTGCTCTTGGTCACCACCAGAAAGAAAGTGAACTGCCCCCAGCACACCCTGTTTTAGGGAAAGGTATGAGAGGTTTAGTTCAATCCCTTTTCTAGCTGCAGTTTTACCTCCTCGTCCATTATCTGAATGTTCCTTTGCACCATCGGGTACCAGTTCTGTTTTCACATATTGACGATGGGATTGTTTTCATGCTGCTGAGTGAGAGTGGGAGTGCTGGGATGTGATGCTGGAGAACTCCGCTCTGGGAACCTAACAGAGGAATCCCACTTGGCACCCAGAGGGAAGCAATTCTGGACTACCAAGAAGATGACAGAGGGCTAAAAACTCAAATCCAGCTACTTTTTCTCTCAAAGTGCAGACTAGAGATGCTCTCCTACACCTCTCAAGCTCTGCAATATCAAGTTGGTTACTCTGCTGCCATCCAGGGCAGGGTGCCAAGTGGGAGACCCTGTCACCTTCCCTGAGCCTCTCTCCCTTTTGTTCTGAATGAGTTCTCAAGCATTCATAGGAATTGTTCTCTGTAGGGCATCTCTGCTGAGTCTGATTTTTGGACCTTGCCCCTACAGAATCCTGTTTCCTGTTTGCCTTCACCCGTCAGAAGCTGCCTCCCTTCTGTCAGCAAGGATATGTAAGAATGCAAGGGCTTGTGGGGACCAAGAGACTCCAGCGCCATGCAGTAGACGCTGGCCTGCTGGAGGATTACACTACTGCAGACTTTTCAGGTGACAGACTCCTTGGCAGCCATGAGGGGTCACAGCACCAGTTGCTAAGAGATCATGCAATGCCAATTCGGCCGCTGCAGCATCTTGTTAATGCCAAGGATGAACTTTAACCTTTCTCACTCCACACTGAAATCCATAGGTGCTGTTGTGACAATATTGTAACAGAGATCCACAGCAGGACTCTTCCCTCTTCCATGTACCTTTTTCATGCCCATCCCTTCCAGTGATCATGAATTGCCAAAGACCTGCTCAGATCTTGCTGTTACAAAGAGGACCGACGTGCTCTGGAGGATAAGTCAGGAGCTGAAATCCAGCGATGCTGAGGCTTCTGCTTTGTACTTGCAGAGTTCAAAGCTGCCTGAAGTCAGTGTTTGCTTTTATCTCACAGACCAATATCTGCAGCGATGGCCAAGCGTCCAAGAAGAGAGTGCAAGAATGCCCAGAAAACTTAAAATGTCCTGTCCCTCTTCTGAGGTGACATGCTTGCATTCTGTGGCAGGCCAGTGCAGACTCTCTGATTACTGGATACTGTATGCCATGCGTACTTGAAGATTTGCTTGTGTGCTGAATCCAGAAACGGTACTCTAGGCAAACTTCACAAGCAAGGTTTTTCCAGCAGTTGAATGAGGGCAGTTGTGCAGCTTGAGTGGAGAAAGATGGTATTTTTTAGTTAGAGTGTAGGAAGGATAATTTACCATTTCCCAGAGAGGACTGCAAGGGATCTTTCCCTCCACAGAGGATGAGTAGCTTGCCTAGAATGCCTAGGACATAGTGAGAGTTGTACTGAGATTGGCCCTGCTGTCCAAACATTTCTCTTCTCCCACACCAAGCAACCTGAATAGTAGCCCTTGTGTTTTATAAAGCATGATCGATATTTCTCCTATTTGCACTATGTCCCATCAAGAAAGTTTCAGGTTGGTTTTGATGTCATTAAAAAGCTCATCCTCTGTTACTTTTTTTCCCCTCCAGTCACCCTGAGATCTTACAAGAGTTGACTGGTAGGTTGTCTGCACTTTATTGCTCCCTCTTTGTCAGCCATGTGCACCTGTCTATCACTCCCTGGTGATTCATCCCAAGGCCTTGGAGTTGTAAACCAAGAGCAGTTTTGAGCTCAACCTTACAATGTCCCTGTGATTTCTAGGAATAGAGGAGGGGCAAGAGGGAATAGGCTCTTACCCCCCCCCCCAACATGCTCCAACCCCTTGGCACATAAAAGAATACCCCTTTGCACTTGTGCTTCCTTATAAGGTACAGCCCCTGCCTAGTCCAGGGCAGTGTACCTAAGACTCATGATTCTTCCAATTTGGCTGCTGTTTCTGTGAAACCTCAGTTCATATACCTCTTCTGCTTCATATTTGGAGAGGCTGGGGAACAGAGGAAGTGAGTGACATGACAAAGGGGTTCTGGCCCCTATTTGGGAATATTGGACTATGCTGCTGATGCTGATGCTACCAAGAGATCTTATGTGTTGGTATGCAGCTCTTATGTGCTGGTAAGAAAAAATGCCATGTGCTCAATTGGTGTAGATCAGCATCACTCCACAGACTTTACATCCCATTACCACAGCTCCAAGGCTGGCCCAGGGAATGGCTCTCTTGGCTTCTAGTTGTTCAGCTGATGCTGCTACTTGCTACGTCTTCAGCACCATAGGCTTTCTACTTGGGGATCATCCAGAGCCTATGACTGAATCAGGTGGACTGGCTGTCACCTAGAGCCTGTTTCATTCCCTGTATGTACTGACATCAAGAGCAGCCCTCTTGTACATACACACGCACACCTTCTCAAGATGTTTCTTCTTCCATCCTCCAGCTCCCACAAGAGATCCGAAGACTGTAAGTTCACAGTATATGTGTTGCCTTAAATTGTGATTCTGCTTAGAAAAGCGACTGTCTAAAAAATGGCACCCACTTACTCCTCCAGTGTGCTCCGTGCATGTCTCCCAGGGTTGAACCTGGTGAGTTCAGTGTCAGAGGTCCTGCTGCCACTCACTTCTGTGGCGCCAGTGGACCCTCAGGAGCGGGGATCCGAGTCCTTCTGATTCACGCACAGTTGATAAAATGTCGCAGTTCCCATTTCGTTTCTGGTGGAGCAGTGGCTCTGTATTGCCTTGTACTGAATGGCCGTTCTGGTTACGGGCGTCACAGAGGAGCGAGAAAAAAAAAAATGCCGTTTCATAGTCACTTGTCGGAGCAGGATTGCACTTTAATCCTGGTGCCCCGTTTCATTCGGTTGTACGTCATGCTGAAGTGAATTACGGCCTGTAGTACTTCGTTGTATTACGAATATGTTTTGTATGGTTATATTCTTCCAATGAAGTTTAAAAAAACGTTTAAAAAGTCAGCAGCAGGAGCAGCGTAGTCCGTTGTTCAGCCGCGACGTGGGCCCTCCGCC